TAGGGGTTATCTAATGTCTATCAAATCAATTCATAGATTGCATTAAAATTTAAATAAATAATCACATCAGTATATTAATTCTAATAACCAGCATGTAGTGAAAACTAAAAAAAATTTGTCACACAATAGCAGGAAAGTAAAACACTAGCCTAGCCTAAGACTAGAGTTGGTTATCCTAGAAAATCATCTAAAGTGTGTATATCAAATTGTGTGATTTAGATATGTTCTCTATAAGATAATTAGTTAAAATTATCAAGTGTTCTGGTTGGTTGAAAGATTGAAGGAAAAATTTAATTAAAGTCTAAATATTAATATTTTAAAGATAATTTTAGGATATGTTTTAAGAGTTTAGTTATTACAAATTTTTTTAAACTAGGGCCTTGAAGTTTATTTCATCTTCCTTATGGCCTACTTAATATTCTCCTAGGCCGGGTTACCTAGTAGTAACAAGTATTATTAAGTGATTTAGTTGATTAAAGGTCAATGGTAGATAAATTTTAATTGGAGTGATTAGTTTCTAATTTTAAATATTGGATTTAAGATTTTTTATAATTTTAAATTAAATATTTAATTTTTAGAATTTTTGAAATTATTTTAAGGCAATTAATTAAGGGGTTAAATTTTAAATTTTTTATTAAGAATAATTTTTGGAGTTTTAATATTTTTCTTAAATATTAGAACTTAAGGTGAGTAATTAGACACTAAGTTTGATAGAATTTAATTTTTTTTACATTTAGTTATAAATTTTTGAAGTTTGAGTTGAAATTTGACTTAAGGTTAACAAAAAAGTTGACGTTTTAATTTTGAATTATTTCTGGTGGTTTGAAAATTTTAGCAAACATTAGACCTTAAATGGAGTCCAATTCCTTTGAATTTGCTTAATTGGGAATTTTACGGAATTAGTTATGATTTTTTAAAGTTTGGATATTTAATAGAATTTTTAAAATTATTTAATTAGAAGGGTTTTAATGATTTGAATTCAAATGAACTCCAAACTTTTTGAAATCACCTCCAAAAGTTAGAAATGACCTAAGGAGGTGTTCTCAAGAGTTTAAGAAATTTTTGAAAATTTGAATTTTATTTAATTAATTAAATTAATTAAAAGTTATTTTTCACTTAAAATTAAATTAAACTCAAAATTGAAGTCTAGTAAAGGGGCTTTTAATTTTTTAAGTTAAGAATTGATTTATAGTCATTATATATATTATTTGTATTTTTTAGATTTAATTTGAATTTATTGTAATTTGTAGAAGTTTTAATGCTTAATTAAAGGTTTAATTGTAAATTAATTTAATAATTAGCTTAATGATATTTAAAATTAATGAGGAATTTTCTTGAGGTATGGGATGTCACTAAGTTTCAATGTTCAAAGTTTCATCCCTATAGGATGTCAATTTAGTTTCTTAAAATTAATCTAAATTACTAAAATAAGTCTTTAATTATTGTCCTTAAGTTAGCGAGACTAAGTTTTATAGGAATGAATCAATGTTTTCTAACCCTTAGACAAACATGAGTAGGATGCAATCACACCAATTAAGAATCCTAAAACTAGGAGGAGCCTAATGCTAGGTGCATGTGCAATCCCAAAGTATTAAAATCAAGATATAGCTTAAATGATTGGAAAGCTTAAAGAAAGTGTAATTAATAATTTAATTACCCATAAATCAATACCCATTAAGTTAATTCAAGCATGTCTAATCTCTGATTAAAATTTTAGGAAATCAATCAAAAGAATGCAAGGATTTAACATGTATAATTTAAAACAAAAATTCTCCAAAATTACATATTAAAGTATAAGTCTTGAATTTTACAAATTTCAAAATAATATCAAAGCATAACTCAAATAACTTTGAAAATAATATAAAAAATCAGAAATGATTTAAAAACGATTTTCCTAAAATTTGAAATAACTTGGATTTATATTTAATTAAATATTATATAAAATACCAAAAATTTTAATATTTAAAATTATTTAAAATATATAAAATATTCTAAAT